ATATACAACAATATCTCGCCGCGCAACTTCGTCGTCATCGTGCGATGAGTATCAGAGTCAGCCCCCAACCTCCACCCCAAATACACAGACCACCCCGCATTCACCACCCCAAACACCCCCGCCGGCGCATTCCCCACAAACCCGCTCAGCAGGTTCGACGCCTCAAAGACCGTCCGCTCATCGCCAAAGATAGCCATGATCGTGCCCGTGCCGACAAGCAGGGCCCCAGCCCCAAGCAAAACATCCATGAGGACGCGATCCAGGAGCTCGGTAAGGATTTCGCGCGTGTTGACGCCTAGACGCCCCCGCTCGACGACGCCGTCGCCTCCGGTACTGGTGGGGGCGGCGGGTTGGGAGGATTTCAGGGCCTTCCGTTCAGAGAGTAGCAGGAGGACGTTCGCGTAGCTCAGGGCGAGATCCCGCGCTGCGAACAGCGTCATTAGGAGTGCGATGGGTCCGAATATCCCCATGCAGATCTTTGCGTGGGTGGGCACGGGGACCTCGTTCCAGACGTTGGCGGCGAAGTCGCCTGCGTTGGCGAGTTCGAGGTAGCCGACGCTGGCGAGGAGGCTGTTTTTGTATTTTGGGGTGGAGGAGAAGATGCGGAGGCGGTTGCTTTCTTTGTTAGTGTTGTTGTTTGTGGTGGTGGTGGTGTTAACGTTGATGTTGATGTTGCTGTTGATGTTGCTGTTGATGTCGCTGTTGATGTCGCTGTTGATGTCGCTGTTGATGTCGCTGTTGATGTCGCTGTTGATGTCGCTGTTGATGTTGCTGTTGATGTTGCTGTTGATGATGATGATGATGTTAATGTAGGGGTGGAAATGAGAGAAACATTGAGATCAGTTTTTGATGTTGTTGTTGATGCCATTGCTGTTGATATGGCATTGTTACTGTAAATTGAGGATGGTAAGGAATCGAGGAGCAAAGAACAGAAGTCTGGGACTTGAGAAATCAGGACATGACAGACGGCAGTTGTTCTATGGGTCCGCTTACATTATATAATGCGATGCAGATTAAGCTCTCTTGGCGTCGCCCTGTAGGGCTGAACCATTCTTTCCCACGAATTATGTGCTGCAGCTTACACCGCTGGAACATCGCTGCCTTCATCCATACTAATGCTATTTTTTTAATTATCGAGCTTATCTAGGTAAGATGATTCTATAGATACTATGTACTCCTACGCTACTCTCTTCTTTTCCTCCCCACTCAACGCCTTGATCAACTTCACCCCCACCTCCTCCGCCGTCCAGCGCTGTCCCTCCCAAAATTCCGCCTCCCGTTCACTCGCATACGGCATCTCCTTCCTGAGTTCTTCCGATTTGGCTTCTACGGGATCTGTCGGGGATGAGTCCCTCGACGAGCTATACACATCCACATGCTCATTGAACCGCACCCGCGGCTTCCCGTTCCCATGGGCCGTCCTGGCACAAAACGTCTCCAGGTAACTCTTGCGCACCGCATAGCGTTTGGCAGCTTCGCAGCGGAGCGTTCCTGAGCCAAGTTTTTGCAGTCCCGTGCGCACACCAAACCGAACCGCCAGGTATACCTGTTCAACGATGAATAGAACCAGCAGCAGCGAGGACATGTGGACCTCCTTCATCCCGTCGCGGTAGAGATAGGCAATACTGGCAGTCGAGAGTGTACCGAGCCATGTCAGAAACTCTAAGCCCTGGAGGGACGGTCCGATCGAGTCCGCGCGGATTGGCGGCGGCCGCTGGCATTCGAGGCTGAGCTTGAAGAAATCACCGCGCAGTTCGAGCCAGTTGTTGATGAGAAAGAGTAGAGGGACGAGTGGCCATGCGATACCAAAGAGGGCTAGGTATCCGTACTGCACGCACATCTCGAGCGTATCTTCGTGGACGTTGTACTCGTCCGCTTCGGCTTCATTGCGAATCCGAGTGAGGAACGCTGCCTCCTCGGCGGAATCGACCAAGAGAAGATCGGTGAGTTTGGAGTGGGAGCGTGGGCGGCCCGCTTGCGTTTTCTTGAGACGGTAGTCACGCCACTTTCTCCAAAGGACCTTTTTCACGTACGGCAGGACGACCTCCTCGCCAAAGCTTAGGACTTGACCTGTCACGGAAAGGTAGATCACTTCTTGCTGGAAGCGGGAAGTGTCCACCTGGAACTCGGTCGACATCGACGAGTGAAGGCCCGTGACATGAAAGATGTCCAGGTAAGGGACGATCTTCGCACCAAAGGGGACGTAGACGAACGCAGTCAAGAGAGTTGGTAGAAACGCAGTAATAAAGTTCATCACGAACATCTTCGCGGTCTGCGCCAGATCATACTGATCTTGTGTGCGATAATTCTCGTACTCCGTCAGTCGAGTGGCAATGTCCGTCAGCTTCGAGGTGATTGTCGGCAGCGAGAGAGAAAACAGCACGGTCGGAAGAAACTCCAGATACCCTTTGAGCGGGCCCGCGTAAACTTCCGAGATGAACACTTCCATGGCAAAGGTGACAACAATCAAAGTGCCGAGCGCTAAAGTGGCGACCGTAGCAAAGGGGACAAGCAGTAGCTGGCGCAGAAGCTGCTTTCGCATGGAGAACACACGGACGGTTTCTCCTGTGATAGGGTCCTGCACCTCCTTGTCCCAGACATACTGTGGTCGGTTGACCTTTAGCGCTCCGACCCCTTTGACATTCCATCGCAGGCTTAAGTCTGTCTCGCGGATCTTCCAGTACTCGACAAAAATGATGCACCAAACACAGTTGACCACTGCGCAGATGACGGAGTATGGGCCAAAACATAGCCAGCAGATGACTCCCCATACGGCAGGGAAAACCAGAAATGATGAATAAGAATGGATGAACGCAAAATAAAATGCCGTCTGCTAATGTCAGCTTTGTCTATTGTCGCCTTGTTGACCACTAACCTTCTCGCCAAACAAAGCACGAATCGCGTTCAAATCCTCATCGGTCAGCGTCACCGATCGACCCATCTTGCGCAGCAGCTCGGCATTAGCAGCCTGATCATGAAGCGGAAACGCAGACGAGATGTTCTCCCATTTTCCTATCTTCGGGGTGACGCCAGCACCACCCAGGTATCTCTGCCAGGTTACAGCGTGATAGACCGATCGGAGTTCTTCGGCGGGGGTTTCAGCGTCGGCGTAGTCCCTTCCAACAGGGAGTTCGTGGATAATTCCATACAGCCAGTCTTTTACTCTGGCCAAGTCAGTTGGTGAAAACAGTACTGTTTATAGAAGGCGAGGTACCTCGACTCGTAAATCATACGTCCTAAGTGGTCGCGGGGGACCCGGACACAGACCAGCAACGACGCGCCATGACCATGTCGGACTTGGATTTGGAGGCGTGCTCCTTTGAGATCACGGATCAAATTTTGAAACTCCTTGATTGCTCGAGATGTGTCTGCAGGTTAAGGCTAGCGCGTCAGTAACATTCAACAGAGGAAGTGTGGACGTTGCAAGTACGAACCGACGTCTTCGAACTGATAATGGATCACCCAGTCGACACCAAGATTGTCTAGCTCTGCGTGGTCAAATTGGTGATGGTGAAAGACAAGAAGAGCCATGGTCCGAGGGGGATGGGGAGGAAGAAGCGGTGTGTGGACTGTGGAGAGGAGGAGGAAGTGCTTCGAGTTGCGTTAGTCAATTGAGATTATTAAGACCAATTGGCCGTTGCTGCGTCAATTAGTATGAAGATATTCCTGTTTAGACATCACCAACGGATGTACATGCATTGGTTTCGGTCCATCTATGGAGAGGTTGTCCCACGAGTCTTGCATGATGATCAGAGTACGCAACTCAATTGATCCTAACTCATAAGCGCAGAGACTTGACCTGCAAGCATAGTCAGTCCCCTATTCCTATGTCCTTTTGACTTTCGACCCTTAAGCATGCCTTGTTAGTGACTCGTCAATGGACAATCTTCCTTCTTGTCCGTTGTGGATCTCAGTTTAGGCATCACCATTCTCGAGCGAACCGAGGCTCGTGCCAAGCTTCAGCCCTACGGGGCGCATACCTAAGCTTTGCTTTGTCGAAGTTAAGTGTCCATCAATAGTAGAAATGAACTATCATCATTCTTCGGCATTCTTTCGCTTAATCAAAGATTCAATCCTACTATCATAAATCATGTCCATATACTGATTCCCATAGAGCTGTTTACATCATTAACAACAAGCATAATGTGTGTACTGTATACCCCTTTTCCGAGATGTGTGGTAGCACTGGAAGGCTGTAGAATGCTAGGACATGAACCACATGGTCCTATTCGATCAGTAGGTACATCAGACAGTAGGGGATAGCTCAACTTACATCTCATAGACTATCGAAGGAATTTTCTTCCATAGTCGCCAGCTGGTGTGGAGTATGAACATGATCCCTCCGGTTGCTGCGATTCCCGCCCCTACTGTTAGGTGGGTTCGGGTACTGTATGATCAACATCAGCCTTACCGAGGGCCTTGCGTGATGTTTCAGTATTCATGGGCACTTACACTATACTATGGGTTATTGTCATGACAACAGCAAGAGATTGATTAGTCTTCGGTGCTAATCTGCTAGCTACTTCGTCCTCTGTCGCAGTTATATAACTTAGTCATACTCCTCTGGCATTCATTCTTGCTCTTCCCTGCCGAGACTAGGCACTCAGGCTTTCGAGTTTCGACTCTACATGATTTTCTTGGCTAAAGTTGTTCCATGGCGTTTATCTAGGTAAAAATCTTCAGTCTCATGATAAACTCATATAGAGACCATAACTGGCCCAAGAAATGCTGCTGCCTGCGCCTAACATGAATGGAAGGGTGGGTAATCTCCATACCACAAAATACCCGAAGCGGAGCCGAATCCCTCACTTTTTATGTCATTTATGTAAATTATTCCGTAACGGAGACGTTTACTACGGTCTAGGAACTTGATCAGCCAATCATAGCCGTCAACGTCCAGTGATAATTTATAGCAGTAAGGGCCAGCATGAGGCAAGGCATCCATTTTCTCCAATTGAGATAGATGCCTTTTTCCAAGTCAAATAAATAATCAAGGTCCATTAATGGCAACAGCCACACACCGAAACCATAAATCCCCCCGCCATCCAATGTGGCTGTTCTTCAGCAATTGAGCTCTAGGACATCCGACAGCGAGAGCAAACAGCAGAGAGCAGCTTCCCGAGTTCCTATCTAGTTCAAGACAAATACATCATCATGCTTAATTGCATCACCAACACCATCAACATTCACCAGCTCCTCTCGACCTCCCTTGATCTCATGGCTCGCAGGTTATTCCCCGGCCAGAACGTGGCCTTTGGGTTGAGCCTGTTCCTCTTTACATTCATGTTTCTGCCGACGCTGGTGATGCTCTTGGCCGTCATTGTGTTCTTTGCGTTTTACTATCCACGGCTAGGAAAGTCGACGGCTCTTCGCAATGATGACTATTGAGCGAAGGCTGTTTGACTGGGTAGAGTTGGTGAGTACCTAGCCTTTGAAGTATGGAGTATATGGTTCGGGTACTGACGGGTCTAGATGTACGATGTACGATGCATTTGGGTCGGAGTTATGAGTGCTATTGGAGTTTCGGAGTTGTTCTTTGCTGTATACCATGCATAAAATTTTCTGATGTTATTGAAGAGGTGGATGATAATGACGCTTGCTGAAGACTACCTTATCGACAATGTCAGATCACTTGGAATGAAGAGCCACTGTCATGGCAGATATACCATTCAATGTTTAACGCGGATCTCAAATCCACAAGGTTCCCAAGAGCCTCTTGTTACGAGTCTGTAGTTCTCAACCAGTTAAAAAGCAGTCAATGGTCCATCGACAGAGCCCAATGGCCACATGAGGATCCATCATTGTTCGCCCTATGGCCTGCGTCACTTGTTGACTGTTCTTTCCACGGAGACTCCAGACAGTCGTTTTCAATCTAGTTTCAATGGCAACATTCCTTCTAGCCCGCTCGCTTGGGCTTTGCAAAGGAAATCGTCCCTCGGCCGTAGCATGGGTTGTTGTGGTGGCTTGTGTGGTAGCGAGTTCGTTCCGGCTGTTGTAGCTTGAAGATGTCTTGTGGTGTGGAGGGATCGTTGTAAGGTGGCTGTTAGTGTTTTAATATGTGTTGCGGTTCTATTACACAATAATCTGGTCAGTGAAGGCCATAGAGCTTAAAAGAACCTAATATCTAGTCTCTCAGGATACTGTAATGAATTTCTGATTGTTGCAGAGGGGTCTCTCGAGGTTGCTGTACTACGCTCTGCCAGCAATGCAGCTATTTACAGTTCCAACCTTGATGCTTTCGAAACACGTGTCAACAATTTCGAGATACCAAAACCATATTTTGCCATGAGAACATACTTGGAGTGGGCCTTGTGAATTGTGTCTTCGAAAACCCCTGCACACGGCTCCGATATTGGGACAAATGTGCCGTGGTCAGTGAGGGTTTTGGCATAGTCATCAACTGTAGATTGGTGATTATGATGTGCGCTATGTACAGTTTTTCACTGCCATCGCGCAGACATATCCTTAGGAGAGTGATTCATATTTTCAGTCCGTCATTTCATGTAGAAGGATTTTGCACATATACCAACCGGATCCACCGAAGGGAACCCCATTAGATTACTCCTCACTGCTCGCGGACATCAACCTTGTCGATTCCGCGTATTCTCCTGTATATTGTACATGAAAATCGAAACTCAGTTCTCCAACAAGACTCTTCACGTTGCTTCAAGTTGTTAGTTAAGACCTCAGCAGGTTGCCAGAAATGTAAAATACCTTAATAACTCCTTCAGGCTAAAACTCACGACCGACCTCAGAACCTCCAGAGCAACGAATGCAGAAAACGCGGGATCCTCCACATGCCTGATGCTCAATAGTTCCTGGTCGATTTTCTGTAGCTGTCGCGCCAGAGGAAACGACTGCCCCACGGACAGGTAGGGCGGTAGCGGCTGCACATTCATCACGGAAGCCGACAAGTGACAGAGCAGAGAGGTGGTGGAATGTGATCTGAAGTCTGCCGACTTCAGCGCAATGGCCGCCAATTGCCGGACCCATTTATCCTCCGAGTTCTTTCCATTACCCTTTTCCAGCGTCAAGATGTCGAGATTCTGCGTTGTGTGAGCCATTAGCGCCATGCTGGTAAGGATCCGCTGGATCTCGGCGATGATGTTGTCGTAGACGGTTTTGGGGAATTTGCCGCCGATGGGTGGCTCGAAGGAAGTAAAATGGCTGTGCATGCGGAGGGTGTTGAGGAGCATCATTTCCTCTTTGAAGACTTGGTGCCGTGCGGTTGTGAGTTTGTAGGAGGCGAATTCTATGTCTTGCACGTTGCCCACTTCATCCTTGAGCCAGAGCTCGATGGTTGCGTGCATGCAGCTGTAGAACTTGGCTAGCACGAAGAGGCTCCGTCCTAGGGCCTTTCGCAATTGTGATTTGGCGGTAATGGGGTAGGGAAAGATAACCCAGAAGAAGGAAATGGCACAGCCTGCTGCCACGGCTGCCAGTTTGTAGGGTCCAAAAAGGTAGATGGGATAGTACGGTTGGCCATTGGATGTTGCTACTTCAAGACCGAGTTTGCGGACCTAAAGAGAGTCAGCTGAGTCTGTAAATGACCAAGAATGGGGCTGACCTGTAGTTCGTAACCAATTATCACATTAAACGTAACGATGGATACTATGACCGCGCCGAAGTACTGAGGCATTTTGATCCAGAAATAGTACTTATGATGCGTAAGCCTTGGCCAGAAAGATCGGAGACCGTCGACATACCTCAAAAACATTTGCAAGATACAGAAACACGATTACACCTGCTGTCTTCCCGTCGACAATGTACCAGACAATGAAGCTCAAGATCAACGAAATCATGGTAGCAGCGATCCGAGCAACAAAACCAAACATCGTCTGCCCACTTGTCGGGTTCATTCCAATCACAATGACAATCATGGCCCAGATGCATCGTTGTCGGATGAAGAAGTTTTGTGTCTGATGCAAATAAGCCAGAATACCAACGGAGAATGCTGCTGCAGCCACACGAAAGCCAAAGACGCTCTGCTCAGACCGGATGGCACGTGAAATGAATCGCAAAATCCTGCTTCCCTTCTCAAAGAGGTTCGTTGGAGGCATGTGCTCAGGATCGGGGAAGTGCCTGCGTGCGTCATCTTCATGGATTGAGGGAGGGTCGACGTTTGATGACCGCCCGTCGTTCGATTCCTTGACTGTCTCAGAATTGAGAGAGAACCATTCCTTAATGGTCTTCTGTTTCGGAAAAATCAATCTATTCCGCTTCATCGTTCCATCTACGACCTTCCTGTTTGCAAACTTTATCAATTCCAGCGTCGCCTTCAAGAAGTCATCCTGCAAATGATCCAGGTATAGAATGAGAAAGAACTCTTGCCTGACTTCCGAGTCGGACGTTATCTGCCTCTGGCTGCCTTCTGTTGAAGCGTTGTAATCGTCCTTTTCTGAAATAGAAAAGGCCTCAAGTGAGGCCAATGCCCTCGGAAGCTCTTTTCTACGCGAGAAGAACCGACGCAACTCGTGCTCGAACCTCGGTGTAAAGTCCGACTGTAACGGATTTAGCTCCTCTCCTCGCGATTCTTCGTCTTTCCCGCCCTCTTTCTGCTTCTGTAGTTTTTTCGGCTGGATGAGTTCTAGCGTCAACAGCATATAGTGCAATCCTGCCATCATCAGCTGGTTGGAATCCACCAGCCGTCTATGCAAAGTCTCAACAACGTTCTGTATCTCTGAGAGCTTCAGAGCCTCCTTCTCTGCGGGTTCGAATAGCTCTCTGCCGGCTTCACGAGGACTTTCATTCTTGACGATCATCTCCAAAATCTCTGGCAACATGGCCATTCCCGAAAGCGGTAACAGAAGACCCCGAAGAAGATTATTGATGTCATTGAGATCGTCTGCAGATAGTTTGCCCCAAGCAAATTCGTCCTTAGAGTAGAATAGGTTGGCCTGCAGTTTGCCGTGCAAGGCGTTCAATTTTGTTAACGTGTCTGTCAATCCTCTCTTTTTCTGTTCCAGATTCGATTCGGAATTGGATTTGTCCGTATCGCGCACACTTCGGGCTGTCCGTGTTCGATGCAATAGTCCTCGAATCCCTGTCCATGCTTCACCCGAGGAGGTTCCCTCCACAAATGAAATTTGGGCCTGCATAAGGGAATCTATTTGGGCCACGTAGCTCTGAATATCGTAGAAGACATTTCCTCTGCTGGTGTTAGGCAGAATGAAGAGCGAAACACCAGTGGCAATTGCAAAACCAAGTAGGAAACCTTTGAGTAATCTTGCTATGAATTCCAAGCCCTCATCTACCGTTACGAATGTCCCGCCACGGGTCAATGTGACGCAGGAAAAGATAGAGAAAGCAACCATTGTGTCTTGCAGCTCGATAGGTCTCCATGCTCGAAGAGTGTTCGCTCCCCTGTCAAGCTTTTGTCAGTGATTTGGCAGACGCCGAGAATGCGAGGGCCGAACCAGATCATGACTATCAACCATATCGCGGACACGGCACACGCGTCGCTATTGTAACCAGTTTTCTGACTTTCGCTAGCATCTGGGGTCGTACTGTGTTCTCTCGCTTTCACGGCGGAGAAAACTGCGAGACAGCAGAGAGATGCAGCCACGCACACTGCTAGGAGATTGAAAAGCATTATCTTCATGAACTTCGCGCGAGGCATTAACGCTTGAGCCACGACGGACATTAAAGCTGCAAGATAGCCAATGGTCGTCGTAATGTCCGCGACAGCACTACTCTGGTGCCTTTTCTATGGTTAGTACTTAGGAAAATTTCCCTGATCTCGGGACATACATTGCAATCACGATGGTCGGTGGTAATGCACCTTTCAGCATCATGAGGAAAGTTCGCAAGTCCAGCCCGAGATGGGACTGCCACATCAACGGATTGAGCATACTGGTTGTGAGAAGTCAGATTTGTACATGACCTGAAACGGAAAAAATCCCACCTGAGGAGCTGAGTCAACTCCGATGTCCCAGAGGTCCTTGTGTGAGCCATAGTGGCTTAACTGCGGCTTGCAGTAGAACAAGATGCTCATGCGGCAAATCGCGCTCTTGGATCACATTGACACTTCGACTAGATCTCAAATGTTGACTTGAAAGGTTTCTTTAAATCAATCTTCACTGTAGAGACAAAAGAGATCGATAAGACTCGAACACGGTTCTGGTTCGGGTTGCCGTTCCATTGTCTTGTGGCGTGTGCCGATGTAGCTGCCGATTGGGTTTTTCTTAAACTTTGTAAAGATTTTCAGGTTCCCAGGAAAGTTTGCAGATATGGTCGGCTGGAAGATGGCTTATCATATCTTAACCTTGTGTCTTTCAATACCTTATTGTCAAATGAGACGTCCTACAGACAAGGCAGGTGAACGCACAGTAACAGACAGACACCATCGGCATCACAACTCCTTCTCTCTGATGTCATGTGACGTGATCCAGCCTCTGGCATTTAACGACAGTCGGTTTACACTACAAGGTCAAGAATAATCAGTCTGCGGGTGGTTAAATTTCTTATCATTCCTTATCCCTTTCATTTAGATCTATCTTCATAGATAATTGCGGTCCTTTGGGCCTCTAACCTCAAGCAACCAATATTGGTCAGCTTATGGAAAGTATTCCGGGTAATCCCTTTGCCGTACTCTGTAGTCCTCTTTGGAATCCAAGCCAAAGTCTCATCAACATACCTCTCTCCTATGCATATATACTCCGCACTACACCAGTTGCTGCTTGATACACGATTATTATTCGTGAGTTTGATCCTTTGCTGTAGTCAGTGATGTTCTAAAGGAGATAATATGGCTTCTTGATGCCTGTAGCACTCATGCTCCACAAGTGTCTATTGCCCGCAAGCACCTGCACCTGGGCTTCTATGCGAAATCGTTTATATCGGCTACTATCCTTCAGTTGAGAAAAGACCTCGATGACGTTCTATTCAAGACTAGCAGAACGGACTAGGCAGATCATGAATCATGAACCATAGTGGATGAATCATAATCATGCCTCAGGCATCTCTGATGTGGCAATGTCAACCGTCTCATTTTATTTCAGGCTTCAGCCACAGTCTCACAGCCACAATGGGCACAGTGGAGAAGATGATATGGGACACGAGGATCTTTCCCTAACCGCTAGGTACTATCTCCTTCAATTGGCTAGTGGCCACTGGCCCGTTCTAGGTTCTGTTGATGACGGGAAATGCCCGACTGATCAATCATTAGAATATCGAGTGTTCAACTCACAATTTCGGCATCTTGCAAGAAGCGACTGATGATATCTTCTTGTGTGTCACTTCATCTAGCCATCTTCACTGAGTTGGTATGAATTACGTATGCTTCAATTTGGAGTGACGTACATTGTTGAGCAAAGGGAGTGACTTGCCCACTTTGGTGCTGACGGAGACGCGGAAAATCCTGCCACCGAGGTGGAGAAACTCACCCCTGACATTGTCTCAGCCAACCACAATCAGTCATCTGTATCTTAGCCTAAGGCATTACCGATATCATTGGACGCCAGCCTTATGAGGATTTTGGGGTTCCATAGTCCACTACCGTAGGTCAACCTCAGTGCGCATTCCTGGAGGCATGGAGTTGGAACTGATCACCTCTGGTCATAAAATTGATCAAATTTCATTTTCGGACTGATAAAAGTTCCTCTCGAAAATAGGAATGATCTGCTCTAAGTAATGGCGCGAAAGAATGATGCGTTTCAAACACAAGAACATCACAGAGCAGGCTACAGGAGTAGGACAGCAGCTAAGGATGACTTCAGATGACATTTGAGGTGTTACAAGTTACAACCACCCTAGAGAAGTGGAAAAGTGAAGCGTGATTGATAACAAAGATGAGGCGAATTGATAGGCTAGCTGTGGTTGTAGAGTGACTTTTGTGCCTTGTCATAGGCTGTTGCTGAGCCCACCATGAATTCAAATTAGGTATCCCATGGAGTCTGGACAAATGCTGATCCTCTCGAGCTTGGCAAACATCATCGGCGCTCGACCATGTGCCAAGCTACTCCATATAACGCCCTGCTTCTCCCTTCTCTCACAGGAACTTTGGACAGTCCCTCCAAGCTTCTCTTTTCGAAGCTTGATTGCTTCTTTTCTCTTAAAGCGCTCTTGGTCATAGGCTTGTTGCCTTTCATATCGATTTACCTACAACTTTTCTTCTGAAATACATGCGTAAGTTACCCCTGGCTATCCCCTAAGGTTCCTATACGATTGTTTCCGCCGTAATATTATTTCTTTACATTTGCCCTGCTCTTCTTATTGTTTTTCCTTCCTCAGAGTGCGCTGTTTCAGCACTGTGTAACATATGTGGCAAATGCACAATTTCTGTCAATTCCAATCATTCAAACTGACACATTCTCTCCTTGCATATAGACCGGATTCAATCGTGGGCGAAAGCTCACGCGTCGGATCGCAGCTCAGCTCCCCAAGATTCCTCCAAACAGCCAGCCAACGAGACCCCGGACTCGGAGACCGCAGAGTCTCGACATAATGGGCAAGTGAAAGGGCAGTTTGAGGACCTGGAAGGTCCAGGATCCAACCCTCAAAATGAACAGAAGCCACCCAAACTAGGACTCATTGTCCGCATGAAACATGGCATCGTCCGATTTGGCAGACATACCAAGGAAGTTTTATGCCATAGCTGGGTCAATGTCCTGCTGGTCTTTGTGCCCGTCGGTATTGCCGTCGAAGCGGTAGGGTTAAATCCGGCGGTGATTTTCGCGATGAACGCGGTTGCCATCATCCCTTTGGCCGGAATACTGAGTCACGCAACTGAGTGTGTTGCCAGCCGTCTGGGAGATACGGTCGGGGCACTCATCAACGTTACATTTGGAAATGCCGTGGAATTGATCATCTTGTAAGTTACGCTACTTTACTTCTGGCGGGTTAGAACTAACATTGATTAGCATGTAAGTTTCCATTGACAACTTTTCTGCGTCTGAATCGTAAATAACTCGATTTACCCGACCAGCATTGCACTCGTCAAGGTACGTTTCTCTCCACTCTATCAGATGATCTTGCTAACAACTGCAGAACGAGATAAGGATCGTCCAGGCCTCCTTGCTAGGCTCCATCCTAGCTAATCTACTGTTGATCCTGGGGATGTCTTTCCTTTTGGGTGGTCTTCGCTTCCAGGAACAGGTAGGATAGTCTTGCGCGCAATATCAGGCCCGTGCTGATTGTCTCTAGATTTACAACAGCACAGTCACTCAGATGAGCGCATGTCTCCTGAGTTTGAGTGTCACCAGTCTTCTCCTGCCTGTCAGTAGTCCACTGAATTTTACACACATAAACATGCTGATTATTATCTGAATAGACTGCATTCCACGCATCTTGGTCGAACAGTGCATCAGCTGACAGAAATACTCTGAAAGTTAGCCGTGGAACTAGTGTGGTAAGCATTGTTATCGTCAGCCAAACGTCTATCATTCTCATATTGTGCAGGTGCTGCTCCTCGTGTATATTCTCTACATCATTTTCCAACTCAAATCCCACTCATATCTTTATGCGAGCATTCCACAGCAGATAATTGATGAAGAGTCTCATCCTGGTGTCCTGGCGGAGTTTATGAACAGTTCTTCCGATTCATCAAGCAGCTCGTCTGACGAATCCGATGACACCACAACATCATGGACAACCGCAAAGCGCATCAAACGAGCGATGAGACATCGCAGACGTCGAAAGTCCAGCACGAGCTCCAATCATACTGCCTCTGGCACTCTGAGCAAGAAGCATTCTGGCGATACAAGCCTTCCAGGGCTGAATGAGAAGAGCAGCCCTAACGAAGCACCGACTTCCAACCATTCCATTGCCATTGATTTTGCGGACGACGGTCACTACGAAGCAGATGATGATAACCGGATCAACGAGCCTCGCTCGATAGATTTTGGCCCGCGGTCGATTGGCGAGCACGAAACATCCAAGAAGGGTCGCAGAGCGAAGAAGCGAAACAGCAAAAAGCACAAAGCCCACAAGGAAGACAAGGTCAACGCCTTGGTCACCGATGCATCGGTTCAACGACCGTCCCTGCCATCTCATCTGTCTGCGCCTGTCACTGATTACATCAACTCGCCCCAGCCAGGTGATGATGTTGCCGCTCTGCCGAAAAGAAAGTCCCCGTTTCTACCCACGATACCATCATTACTATCCAATACTGTCTTTTCAAACACGACAGCTTCGAACAACCCTACCCAGTCAGCAGCTGGAAATCCTGCTCTTCGACGCACGCGGTCTCTTCCTTCTCGCATGAATCGTCCTCCTCCGGTTGGGAACGCAGTCCAGTTTGCTAGAGGCGCTGCTCGTATACCAACTACGGTTGATGTCACGGCTAACAATACTCCTCCCGAGCACAAAGAGTCTGAGATATCGCGCACGGCTGCCGTGGTTATGTTACTGGTGTCAACGGCGCTTGTCGCAGTTTGTGCCGAGTTCCTGGTGGACGCCATCCCAGAAATGATTGAGAGTTCATCAGTCAGCGAGGCGTTCATCGGTCTGATCATTCTACCTATTGTCGGTAATGCTGCAGAACACGTTACCGCTGTCAGTGTGGCCACCAAGAACAAGATGGATTTGTCCATTGGTGTGTCCGTGGGAAGCAGTATCCAAATTGGTGAGTCTAGCAATATGCCCGTACGATTCCGGATTTCTGACGGGTTCTAGCAATTTTCGTTACACCCCTGGTTGTCATTCTAGGCTGGTGCATGGACAAGGACATGTCTCTGTACTTTACCCTGTTCGAAACCATCTGTTTGTTTGTGACCGCTTTCGTGGTCAACTTTCTGGTTCTGGATGGTCGAAGCAATTACCTCGAGGGCGCGCTGCTTATTGCCGCCTATGTCATCATCGGGTAAGTTATTGCGCTTTTTTTGAATTGACCTATTCCTGATTGTACTTAGTGTTGCGGCCTTCTTCTATCCTGGAAGTGACCAGTCTGTCGATGTTGCCAGTGCTGGCTCACATTAATGCGATTTGCAATGAAAGTCGGAGCAGGTATGATCCTG